ATGGCACTATAGGATCAAAAGAAAATACAATGATATCAAAAACTACTTTTAATGCAAAAGCTCCTCAATAAATAACAAAATCCCAGTTTTCGACCAACCGAGTTTCAATTCTACCATACGAGTCTAACGTTTGTTCAAGGCAAATCCATTTCAACATAATGTTTATTCAAGGGAAATATATACGAGAGTAATGAATGCCACTCAGAGGTGCTAAATCGAAAAATCCATATTTGTAGTGAGAGAAACAATAACTAATATGTATTCAACTAAGACTTCGCAGCTCTATGCCTGTGTAGTTGGAAATTAATTTGATTTGAACACTGCTAACTCAAACGCCAGTAAATGTTGATATGAGGAATATACTCATAATGCGGTAGAAAATCTGTGAGTGTGTGTGCAAAGTGACTTGTTCCGTTTACTCAGTCATTTCTACTTTAGAGGAAATGTCCTTACTATATGTTTGTGTTTTGATATACTTCGTTTTTGAATGACTTTGCTATGTTTGTTTCACGGGGTTTAATTACTCTTTCTAAACAATCCAACGTTAAATTTACCTTAGCTTTTCCCTGAGTACGGCGACAGCTTTATAAATAAGTGAAAACATAGCTAGCCATAAGTATACGCATTTGGGTAAGACTTATATATACTTATACATATATTTTAGACCCAGAAAATCTCCAATAAATAATTGGTTGGACAAAGTATCCGTAGCACGAATCTCCTCTTTATTTTCCAAATCTCGTAATCCAATGGTTCTTCCTAAATCCAACCACTTTGTGTCCGACCCCATTTCAATTACAGCAACATTATGTGCAATATTTCATTATCTATTGTAAGCATTATATGTAATAAAAAATGCAAGAAATATTTTCATAGACATTCAAATTTATAAAAAAAGCTTGAATTATGTCATACCCACGTAATAATACAGTTATAACAAGAAATCATTATTCAAATTATCATATTAAGTAGTACAGTGACACAATATATCATTAATATACTAGTAGATAGACACAGTCACAGGAAATACATATACTGACCGTAAAAACTTTAACTTTACTACACTGAATGGTTTATGAGGTACACCACTTTTATTTACTTTACAGATTCCATTTATTTTGTAAATTGAACCATGTGTAAATATACATAAGATTCTAATTAGCAGCTAACGTGTAGTGCGGCTAACAGAATAGTAAATTTTATGCTTGTCATTTTGTCTATTTGGACGTAATGAAAACATTCGATTCGAAGTTCGGTAACTCTTTTCTAATTAATTGATTAACTTTTGGTTTGCCGCTGCAGTTGTTAGACACCATAGAAGAGACATTGTGTTTACGTTCCGGTTTATGAATCCACGATTTTAATAAAATGTGAAAACCTTGCCCATGGGGCGTAAAACCACGTATTACTTAAATCAGTATCAAAAATACATGCTTATAGAAATTAATTGAAGGCTAGGCTAGCTCGTGTCTTGTAATATAAATAACTTCTTTTAAACTGAATCAACCTAGAAATTGTAAATAAAAACACAGAAAAGAAACATAAAGCAATATCATTTTAAAAGCAAAGATACTTCTTTATTTAAGGAAATTAAGTGTTTATTATTATTTCTTTGTGTTGAAAGTATACCTGGTACATTCTTACTTGGATGCTTTTCTCCACATGGTTATATCTTGCATATAGTGCTAACAGAATCAAAGCGTATCTAATTATCTTTACTTCTTGTAAGAGCTTGGTGGATGATGTAAATTGAATTCAAATAAGTTCAAGTTAAAGTTCATTATTAGAAAGGTCAGAGTTGTTGTTCCTCTTTACTTAAAGAACTTTGTTTCTTGAGATGCCTTGCTATAGCAGGCTGAATATGTAAGAAAATTTAATTTATGCACCGGAGAACATGGTGTTTCCTTGTTATGGTGGAAAATTATGTTAAGTATGTTAAAAATGTATTACGGAAACACTAAGCGTAGGTACGCTTAGTTTTTCTGTAATACGTGGACAGGTGTCCACGTTGCGTCATTAGACGAATGTATGTATCCTTGTCAAATAATAGGCAATTAACGTTGCCATTTTGTAGACAATTTTATTTGTTTCTGAGCAAGTATTTGTGATTTGTAGGCTTATTGTTTATGAAGGATGCATGCGACCGTCAATTGACGCAACGTGTTCACGTTTTGTCCAGCAGGTCTAAGTGACATTCTACATATGTTGTGACAAAACTAGTTATAGAAAACGCATCATTTTTTGGGTTCGTATTTAAGAAATTCATTTGGAGTGTTGAAGCGCCTAAATACAGCTAGTTAAACTTCAATATTGAAAAATACCCCACCTATTGGTGGTATGCAACTATGCATTAAACAGTAAGCACTTATGGTTTCTCTGATGATTAATAAATGAAAAGTCGTTTGTAGTTTATGTCAACTTACATGGTCTTTGTGAAAGCAACTCGATGCATTGTTCATGCAAAATCGATGGCAAACTGTTACCATAACGTAACTGGTATTTACTTGGGCGCAAGGCCACGAGTTTAACTAGACTATAATAAATTGAATTTCCAGTTACAAATCGATTTAGGTATTATTAATAATTTGTATAGAATGGAATGAACTTTTTATTTCGTTTGTTGGGTACTTATTAAATAAATAATTACTGATGATGCCTGCAAATTTTATGGGTACGTACTAATATGTCTTTAACAATTCAGATCTGAGCTAAGAAAAGTTTGGTAATATATATTGTATTTAATTTAGTAGTGACTCTAGAAACCTTTAGATGTGCTAGCTCCTGAGCCTGACAGTGTAGTGCATTCTTAGCTATTTCTTAGCCTCTTGAGATGCATGAACTCAACCCATACATTTTTATTTATCTTTTATTTACTTGCACTGTCACAGAAAATGTGTATACTTTCCGTATGATCCTATATACATTCCCATTGGAATTGTGAAACGTGTTCTGATAAAAGCATTCTTAGGACGTGTCCAGTTCTTATAAGTCCATTGTGAACTCATTGTGAGATATACTCGTGTGTATTGTTCATATCGCAAACCGCTAATAGGGAAATTGACTCATTTTTATTTTAATGTCCGTCTGGACGATTCTTTTAAAACACGTATTTGTTATTATTATACAGAAGCGAATATTTTCGACGATATATTGATTTGAAATGTCGTGTCACTTCTATGTAGGTACATTTTATCCGTAGAAATGACGTTTTCGCCTCCACTCCTAAACTTTGATTCGTTTTATCTAAGTATCATTTTATTAAACAACAAAATAAAAAAATACGTGTCTGATATTTTTTCATTACCTAACTTAAGGACTAATTAGATTTTTCATTTTCGTACCCTGTCATCATTCCTATTACGGCGCGTCGCTGTCCGCAGACTTTCACACATAACCTGCATCTTGTCACTCAAAATCAATGGTTAATGGTCGTGGATTATAGTCAAACAACGGCAATTTGTTAGAAAAAAGTATGCAATTTGTTCAGAGCTGTGGCTTTGTGAAAATATTTCAAACAGAAACCAGGTAGAATTTAAGATTTTTAGGTTGCTAAACGTGTGACTGTATTGTTTGATGAACGACAGCGCGACAGTTCACAAAGATTATTTGACATTTTCAAACTCTTGTCAATTTTATTAAACGACATTCGTGCGAGTCACGTACCACCGATTTAAAAATAAACGTTCTTTATAAATAACTAATACAAATAAACTCAAAGTATTTAACTTACTATACGCACATTTATTACCTTACATATCAGATGACGTCGATGGATGACAAAAACCTTTATGGGCTAATGTCTATAATTTTCTGAAAGTGTAGCTACCAACCAGACTATAGATATGTCAATTTTGCTAGTTATGTACCTATTATAAGTCTAAAACTCATTCTACGCAATAAGTCATATTAAGCCCACCGTAGGGAGGTGTACCTCTGTAGTAATTTCTCGTTGTATCTTCGTAAGCTAATAAAAACTAATCAGTTCGTTAATCCTGGATTTTGTTACGTTTCAATTAGGCTTAGTACAAATGATGCAGATTACTTAGAGATTATAACGGTCTATCAATTTAATTTCGTTAGAAACGGATGCTTGTACGCCCTTATTATGCGTAGGGTCCATCAATTTTAATAATAAAACCGTAATACTTGGCCTCGTTATAATATATACGACTGAGGATGCATAGCTACATGATATTTACTATGTTTGTTTATTATTACTTGTTTAATTGTCTTGTCGTATATTTTCAGCTTGCTCAAGTTTCTTAGTAGGGAGCTTCCGTAGTAGAATTATATTATTTTTATTTATAGGCAAAATTAATGTTTAAGACTTATGTATATATATAAAGTTGAAACCGTTTTCCGTAGCCACGCCATATCTTGAGAACGGCCATATTTTTTTTTGTTATTGTCAGGAGAAGGTTCTTACGACAGAAAAATCCTGAAAATCCTACGGGAATAGGAGAAAACGGGATTGCGAGTACGAAGTCGCGAACAGAAGCTAGTTAAACATTACTAACAAAATTAAATATGATATGTTACTGTAAACGAGTATAAAATATAGCTGAATAGCTCTTAGAAAGTCTTACGTCTAAGCTCCTTATCTCGAAGACGCTAAAAAACTTTAAAGGTCACGTGTGAATATAAAAGCATTGGAAGGAGGAAAATGCAAAAGCATCTTATTCAGTTTATGCACCTCGAGTCGCATAAAGCCCTATTGATACTCTGTTTTCAATGTCAGTTTGTCAAAGACTTCTACAATAAAGACTATACGTAAAGTTTTACACTTTCTTTCTGGTACTCTGAATAGGTTCTAGGAATATACAAATATTACTCGAATAATGTTTTGTTTTGAACATGAAAGTGTTGAGACATTCAATTCCAGGAATAGTTATCTTTTCACATACGGATTTAGGATTCCTACATACGGATTCAACATTGAACTATCCTAGTCAGTTGGTCAAACATGTTCTGAAAAATTGAATTAAAAGTAAAATATTTACCTGTAGCAGGCCGTAACGCAGCTCTATATCCAGGAAGAAGTACTCTTTGGCGTGGGGTGGAAGATGAGGAGTAGAATTCAAGATCTGCTGTTGAGCGCTCGGCGGCCCCAAGGTTATAGGATGCGGCATTACTGGAGGCGCATGTCCGGGCAGTACGTTGCACTCCTACAAAATAGATTAACGTTAGTACATTTCATTCGTGAGACACATTTTAATCTTGGACTTTGAAATTAGTCACGTCACTGTTACCTTCCTACGTAGCGCCTGGCTACGCTGAGCGTAGCAAAGCGCTACGGTTTTCGTAGCAAATATTTTTGAGGTGGACCGACAAAATTATGAGAAAAGTACCTTATATAAAATTAAGTACAATCTTTTGTTTGGTATTTAGTTTCTTAAGTAAAGTTCAAGAAGTCGAAAAGTCGGTTTAAACTACACAATACGTTACACAATAATAAGAACTAAGTTGAATAAAAATTAGGCACCGCTTTGTTGGTCGAGTGGTTACTAGCGCGACAGTCAAGAGGTTCAGGGGTCAAGAAGTATGGCAATAAGCTAACCCACACAGGAGTCAAAAGAGAACTGGTGAAAATCGGTGTTAACTGTTATTTACATTGTATACTGCACGTGCACTTCGGTCACTCTTTGAGGGATTAAGAGAGGGGACATTACGTTATGTATTGGTTGTTTTTTATATGAAAAACTGGTAATCGAGCAGACACATCACCTGATGGTAAGCAATCGGTGCCGCCCATGGACACCTGAAACACCAGTGGCGTTACAAGTGCGTTACCGGCCTTTTGGGTATTGGGAATTTGAGGATTATGGGGGATTCGGAGATTGGGGAAACGAGGGGAGAGTAACCTACCGGCTACCACCTAACTCATACGACGAAACAACGCAAGCATTGTTTCACGACGATTTTCTGTGAGGTCGTGGTATCACTCCGGCCGAGCCGACCCATTCGTGCCAAAGCATGGCTCTGCCACACTTGTATGTAAAAATATAAGGTATAAAGTCAAATTTACGCATCCCCAAAAGTAGGACCAAAGTCTATACTGTTATTTTAGAACACAGCCATGTGACGCGGGCAGGCATCGTCACGGGAGCGTGACGTGCACGTTTAATGAACCGCAGATTAATGATATAAGTGCTGTGGTCGGTTCGTAATTACGTAAGTGTGTGTGGCTTTACAGATGTTGTTGCTCAAGCTACGTAAACCACCAAAGCAGGGCAATATAAACGCTATCACAAAGATGACGTCACTGCTGTGGATGGAGCAGAAATGTTTATTGAAATGTTATATGAATACTACAAAAGTTTTGATAGTTAGGCATTTGAAATTGCCGTCATAAAATGGCATTGAAGAATATTATTCGATTATTTATAATATGACATTTTCATAGACAGTTTTCTAGTCCACGTGTGAAACTACATTTGACAGAATTGTGTGAAAAATACTTGAAAGTGCTTCATGCAAACTAACCACAACTTCTAATCAATTCAAAGCTAACTTTCTTATTTGAAATCTTAAACTCGTGTGCTAAGTACATTCTATTATCTAGCAGTCACTATGCAAACCCTTTACTCAACAAACTCCAACTATAAATCCAATCCAAGTGAAGTGATTGGAATTTTAGACGGTCGCGTCAGCTATTCTTAGTTCTATGCTTTACGGAAACTCAGTGACAAGCAATTTTTCTATGGAAGATGTATTAAATTAAAGTACGGATATATAAAGAGCGCTATCTACAAAGCGTATTTATCATAGAATTATTATTTATTTAATTCAGGCAGGCAATTAGGGTGACATTAGTATTTCGCACGTTATTTTGTTAATTCATCATTTTAGAGGTAAATATTTATTAAATTGTATTGAAATAGAAAAGTCAAATGGGTTATAAATGTACTTAATACACTACAGTCTAGATAGTTATCTATTAGACGTAAATACGTAGCAGAGAGATAATGAAAATTGACGTGTTGGAAGGCTTACAGAAGATACCTTTCTTCAGTAGGTTATAGCTCTATAATACCGTTAGAATCCTATCCTATATTTCAATTATAATCACTAATAATGTACCTCTATTTAGGCGTGACAAACATATCGGATATAAATAATTTCTATAATAGCAATTTGATTATACACTCACATCTAGTTTAGATATTTATTTGTTCATAAAAGACGTCTTCACTAACGGACTATCAGCAAAAGTTATTTATTCACGTATTTATCAAGTAAATCACATTTCAGAATTCATTGATAAAATATCTAACTTACCTACTTGAAAAAGTAAATGGAATGTGAATTAAATTGTTGAGACCAGGGTAATAACAGGGTTATCTATTGTGATGGCGGCGACCCCTGTCATTTTATTTTGTAAGTCCTTCATATAGTAATTATTAGAAAGGTTTTTCTAAATAGGTTTTATTTTTGTGCAACACAGTTGCGGTAGTATTACAAACATTGAGATGTAACGATCAACTATCTAAAGATTTTGTGTGGCTATCGCCAACGACCACAACAGCATGGTGCAGCATCATATCATCAGCATTACCTCACTGGATTTAAAGTCCGGAATATTCAATAAACACAAATGGTTACGGTAAAAGTTATATTAAGATTTCAGACGCTTGTATTCACAAGTCATATTTAATTTATTATTCAGTGGCAATTACCTACTTAAATTGAAGACTTTGAAAACATTATGGATATAAAAATATTAGAAAATAGGTTGGTAGGTTTGTAGGTAGGTACCAGGTTAACTAATTATGGTACTAAGATAATATTAAAAGCGTTTTTATCAAGGTCAAAGTTTTTGTTTAAGAATCAAGGCTAGCTATAACAGCTTTCATTTCATGTAGGAAAACTGAAGTCTCGGGCGGGGCCGCAGGCTGAGCTAGTAACAGAGCCACAAAGGAAAATTAGGTGCCTTTATCTTGAGAACCTGAATGTATACTTATTTATTACTACAATTTTATTTGTCATAAAGTGGTTGAGAAAACGTAAACTGACTTTTATATCTACGCGATTTATTTCTGTAAAGATTCCTCTAAAATGTATTCACAGATTTGCGTATACGATACACGAGTTTACTTTTGAATTTCTTAGTGAATTTGGATGAACGTACGAAGTTTATATGGTCAGACGCTACGGTCTATGCAAGGTACGGGTTGCAAGATGTATTCATCACGTTCACGAAGCGAGGGAAATAATTCCAATTTGTTAATGATGTCGTCTTACGTTTGCGGTTAAAACAAACCTTTGATACATTGTGGTTGGATTCAAACAAATTCAAAGTTTTATAATAAAGTTTACATGCTGTTTGCCGACAATGTATCTAAATAATTACCAGATTTTTTTAAAAAAAAAAACGTTGCCCCTCACTAGGATTTTCTCCTGTGTCGGGGGTACGTTTAAAAACATACAAGTTCACAAAACACAATAACACCCAGACCCGAAACAACAATTTGTGGATCACACAAAGTGTTGTTCCGTGCGGGAATCGAACCCGCGACACGTTGCACGGCAGTCGGTTGCCCAGCCACCGTACCATCCGTGCAGTCAAAGTTAAAATATTTTAATGAAATACAACGATGAACTGATAGCCTTCTGTTAATCTATTTCAGTCTATTTATTTGAACGAGGTCAATATTGTTTTTTTAATAATGAACTAGGTTAGATAATAAATACATTTCGACAGCGATGTATTACGACATTTATATAGATTAAAATTGGTTTCAATCGTTATGGAAACAGAGAAATTTTATTCAACATTCGTAAAAATATTTTGCTATTTTACAAACAACAATATTTTTAAAACATATGTCACGATCTTGTCTCTCTTTAAATTTTTATTTCTGATTTATAAAATGACATTTTCCGTGTATAATTTTGTTTATAACATACGATATGTAACATGTCTGCAGGTACCAGGATTCCATACAATCACAGGTGGTCGTTGACAGTGTAAGTCCCCCGGGAAAGCAGTGTTGTCACCATTTATCGCGCGCTCCAGTCGCAAGGAATAACAGATTTTTTACTCCACCCAATAAATCAATCTGAGCGACAAGCGCTAAGTCTGAACCGTTTCGTTTTATAAAATAACGTTTTTTAATTCATCAAGTTTCGTGACCTGTTGAATAAACAGGTTTAGTAACCGAATATTGGGATTGTTTTTATTTATGGCCATGTTTTTAATTAGTGCTCATCAAAATGAACACTATTGAGGCTAACAGTCGTTGTAGCATTATTTTTTCTAAATAACTATTTATTTACATTTTTATGACAGATTGTACCTAATTCAGACTAAACCCCATACGGCTATTGAGCTCAGAAACCATAAAATGAGGATTTAGAATGCGTTCTTCATTCCGTATTTGATAATGGCCACCGCTTTTATCATTATTAAGTTTGAGGTTTTTCTTTATGGAATAGTAGGCAAACGAGGATCACCTGTTGGTAAGCGGTTAGCGCCGCCCATCGATACCCGCAACACCAGAGAAGTCACAGGTGCATTGCCAATCTTTTAAAAAGGAATACGCTCTTTCCTTGAAGGTTTGAAGGTCGTATCGGTTCTGAAATACTGCCGACGACAGATCATTCCACAGTTTTGCTGTGCGAGGCGAGAAAGCTACGTAAGAATCGCACAGTTGTGGCCTGCCAACCATCTATATGGTTACAAACAGATAAAATATTCTCAATGTAAATATAAAATGTAGTATTACAAAATAATTTTCACATCAAATTAATATTCTCAGAGCAATCAATATTCATTACAAACTGTTCAAGACTGTTATTATTAACCAAGTAAGTGGAATTCAACGTTAAATATTTCATCGACGCGAACTATTTCGTATGCTGAACGGTTGAAGCAGTAGCTTTTATTTTATTTCCACTGCGCCGCCGTTCAAATACCGGAGTTCCGGGATGAAATTGAAAATGCAATGGAATCGGTGTTATTTCCAAATCTATGTCAAATATTGCAATGAGATTGAAATAATATTGGTATTGAAGAGTGTGTATGCATTTTGTGGTAAATAACGTTTAATGTGTATGTAGTTAGCATGACTGGGGAAGAACCCGTATTGTCCTGTGTCTTACAGAATACTTACTGAAAGTAGTGAGGAAAAGTTGCTCCATTTTGTCTGGTATGTGAGAATTTCGG